GCTCTATTGATTATATAGTGAAAATACATGAATTCTTTGAAAATCTTCTCCTCTGCTCCTGGGTATTAAATAAACTAACTAAGTACATAGTTATGATGAGCAAGAGTGCCTCTACCAAAATTGTGAATTTATGGCCCCAGGGTCAGGGGTTCTTGTTTTAGGGTGGGGCTCAAATGATTATATAGTGAAATGCATGAATTCTTTGAACATCTTATCCTTTCCCTCTGGTTAATATACTAATGATCTAATTACATATTTAAGGCCAGAATTTATTTTATTTTCAGTTTTACAAACCCTCCGCTCAAGGTTTTGAATTTTCAGAAAAAAATTTTCTTTCCGATGTTAAATTTGAGTCGGGATCGAGATTTCAAATTTACGAACTCGCACTTCTGGTTTTAAGATGAAACAGCGGGTAAATAAAGCTAGATCTGAGAAGATAGCTTGGTTTAGTGTAAAATTCATCGATACGAGTGCCATTCAAAACGTTTCACCCAATCAAAGGACAAATAAAATGCTGACGACTTTGTTGCACAATGACGTGCTGGTGAGATAATTATGTATTCGTTTCAAAAGTATCTGTCTGTAAATTATTTTCTCCCCAAGGTTTTAAACTGCCCGTGGTAGCTATAGATTGCATATTGCCAGCGACATTGTTTAGGTCTCTGTTATAGCTTACAGTCTAAGCATCATTCTTTAGAAAAGGGTTGCTTATGTATCAGATGTAATGAATAAAACTATGGGAGAAGTTAAGTCCATTTGAGGAAGAAATAAACAATAACCTGTAGAAATAAAAAAATTCAACTATTAAAAGGCAAGAATATACAAATATATACAGGCATGTAGTATCATTTGTATCAGCCAGAAAAAATTATTTTACACAGGTCCAGGAAAATACACTTACACTTAATTGAAAAAATGTTCATCCTACTCCCCAATACTCCCTGTCTGTTTTATGATAGGAATTATAATTTTAGGCATCAAGTAAATTTTAGAACAATGTCTACACATTCACCTAACACATATTTAAAAAATGAAGATATATTGAAAGACTTTTAAAGAATTGATTTTTTAAAATATATTTTGACCAACATCACAAAATTTATATAACTGGCCCAAACTGGCAGATGATGAAATAAGCAATTAAATGTTCTACTTTCCTATTTGTAAGCATTATGTGTCCAGTGGTAAGGAGCCTATTAGAATAGCATAGAAAAAGAATGAACAAATGTTAATAATTGATTTATCAAAAAAAAAATTTTATTTCCTTCTCCTTTGGGACTTTTTTATTCCCATGTTAATAACTAAACCTAAACAAAAAAAAAATGCTGGCCTTATAATGAAGAAAGGGGTCTCTTTCAAAATAGATAATTTCAGGGCTGCTGGGTCAGGGGTACCAGGGGGGTACTTTGACTAAAAATAAATTAATGCTTTGAGATCTGCCCTTTGATAAGCAATGGTGCCTAATTCAAAATTTGTGAATTTCATGGCTTTTGGATAAAAACACGAACCAAATGCAATCGCTGGAATGTTACATGATACTCAGGTGACCTATAAGGCCCGTGGGCCTCTTGTTCAGATAATAGACAAGGTAAAAGTTATGGTTGCAGGTCTATTACCAAAAACTATAAGGCTATAATATATAACATTATAAACCAAACTTGCACAAATGCTGCATCAAGAGATGAAAACTCTCAAATTTGCTTCAGATGCTGGATTTTCATTACATTTTCATGAAGAAGAACTAGTTTAAATTTTTTATGTAGGTCTATTTCAAAGTATCAGATCAAAATTCCTTAAATATTTTCATTTTTGGAATGTATACTTTTTGTTGGTTAATTGTGTGACTTTGCCTTACTTAAAGTCATATACGCTATATGAACGCCGAATTTTGTGTGAAACAAAATGATTAATGATTTAAAACACATGAAGTGTAATGGAAAATAATACTTTCCACAAAATTGTACTATAGATGTCGTTGTAATAACAAAACAATTAAACAATATCTAGGAATTAAGAACTCAGTCTTTTCATGAATATTGATGAAGGAAGTGCGTAAACAGTAGGCCTATATATAGAAACACATGTCCACGGGAAATCACAGTCAACGAGGTATGTTGCATTTTGACAACAATTATTAATATAAGGTTAATATGCGTCATAACAGAGAATATATGGTTGATACTGAATACATTAAAAGATAAGTACCATTAAGTAAGATGCTTGCCATCCACGTCAAAAGTGAGTAGTATCTCAAACGGCCTACCTTGTTTTCTTTACGTAGCGACGGCGTCACGTGATGGATTTATTTAAAAATAGCTATTTTTCTTTCCTTGCAGGATAATAAAAAATTATAATTTGATAACTTTGTAACACGTTTAATTTTAATGGTGTAATTTACAGTATTTTCGTAACTTTTGTTGATAAACAAATTATAACAATTTCCAATCGTATTTTAACTGGCGCAAGTTATAGCGTGTATAATTTTTAAGACAACATTCGTTGAGGTGAGCTCTGTAATCTCTGATTACCTATGTTTATAACCTCCCCTTCCCTGCTTGAAAAGTGGGAGGGTACCTACTATATAGTGATCAGGATGTACTTCTGTCTGTTACACTTTGGGGTACCCATCTCTTATCTGCAACTCACTGAACTCACTAAATGATAAACCCAAAATATAAGCCTTAGATCAAAAAGTAAAATAGAAGGTGCACAATGGCATTATGTATCAAAGAATCTGTGAAAGTATCATTAAATTTTATTCAGTGGTATAAGAGGAGTTGCGGATAAGAGATGGATACCCAAAGTGTAACGGACGGACATCCCGATCACTATACCCTCCCACTTTTCAAGTAGGGGGGTATAAAATTGAAAAAGAGTGGGGGCAATACCTGGGGCATCCCCCAAGTACCTGTGGATTTATGAGATATTTATGTTGTACGATAATCTACAGCACATTTCAAGCCTCAAACTGTCTTACTTGCAGCCAAAATAATTTTTCTAATTTGTCTGGATAAAAAGAAATAAAAGAAATTCAATAATACAGATTCATATGCATTTATTATACCCCCCGCTTGAAAAGTGGGGGTATATAGTAATCGGTATTTCCGTCCGTCCGTCCGTCCGTCCGTCTGTACGTCCGTCCGTCCGTCCGTCTGTCCGTCCGTCTGTTACGCTTTGGGGTACCCATCTCTTATCCGCAACTCCTCTCATACCACTGAATGAAATTTGATGAAACTTTCACAGAATCTTTATTACATACTGCCATTGTGCACCTCCTATTTTATTAATATATAGATTGACAATGTGACCTCATGTAATTGCATGGAATTTTTATTACTAATTGACCAAGCAAGTTAAAGAGACATAGACAAAAAAGTTTTAAATTGAACTTCATGTACTAAATGGAGTACTAGAAGGATTGATTGTATGTTGTTTAACATCCCTCTAGAGAAATTTTCACTCATATGGAGATGGCACCACTTGCCTGTGGAGAGTTGCAAATTTTGACCTATACTTGGGTCATTGAGCGGTACCTGCGTCCCACAGTGGGATTAGTACTACAGAAGGAAAACCACAGTAAAGTTTTATAGAAATTCATTTAAAATATTTTTATACAAAATTTTAAGTAATTTTTGTTTCCAATTAATTGAAACCCACAAATGTAAAATATATAAATACATGTTTATATAACAAATAACTTAAAACACTTTGTGTCAAAAGAGTGCATATAATTCAATACTGATCAATATTATTAATCAATTATGCATTTCATCAATGGTAAATTTGTACATCTTTAATGATGGATACAAACTGCTAAGATTAAAGGCATCTAGAAACATGAGAAATGAACAAGAAATTAATAAAATTCACACAGTCACATGAGCAGTGACATGACAAATTAAACAGAAAGTTCATCACTTTGGGTTTTCCTGTTCAAGCATTCAATGAAATACATATCAAAACTATTATATCAATGTATCACAGAAAGAAAAATATTTGAACAAAATGTGTTTGTGAATCACTGATGTCCTTCCATGGAACCATTGTAATTAAGGTTTAAGTTTTTCAAAGCAGGTCAAATGTCAAGGTCATGAAGTAAAACTTGAGGTACTGTGAGCAATGAGCTCACTAAATGATACCCCCCGCCTCCCATATGGTTTTAACTGGTGAAAAAGTCCATGTTTTCCTGTGGCCGGGAAACCCAAAATATGTGTCGGATCAAAAAATAAAATAAGAGGTGCACAATGGCAATGTGTAATAAAGATTCTGTGAAAGTCTCATCAAATTTCATTCATTGGTATAAGAGGAGTTGCGGAAAAGAGATGGGTACCCCAAAGCGTAACAGACGGACGGACGGAAATACCGATTACTATATACCCTCCCGCTTTTCAAGCGGGGGGTATAAAAAAATGTTACTCAGAGAAAAGAAAAATTATTACAAGGAATATACAGGTGAAATACAAAAAATTGAGTATTACCCATTCTAAAGTTTTTTTTTTTTTTTTTTTTTTTAAAACAGAAAATGGTACCCAAAGAAAGGTTGTCACAACGTATGCATATGGGAAATGTAAAAGTCATAGCATCAAATGTTCAAAAGTCAGAACAAAGTTAAAATTTTGTTTAAGTGTTTCCAAAATAAATAAAACTCCAAGGTTAAGGTTATGCAATAAAAAAACGTTGGTATCCGAAGAAAGTTGGTCTTGTCACAAGGAATACACATGAAATATTTAAACCCTAGGACCAAGCATTCAAAAGTTAAATTAACATTTTTGTGGAAAACAGACACCAAAATCTATACAAGTATTCCCCAAAACCTCCAATTATATAATCATATTATAAAAAATAATAACCCAAACCTTCAAATGCTAGTAAATGCTGCCTGCATTCCTAGAAGTATATATTTAGGAGTTTCAATCACTTATAATGATAAGTTACTTCTTGTCCCACCTCAGTGAACACATTTAATTGATTTTGAATCCACGATCTGTAAAAAAGGCTTATCAAATTCCATATATATTATCTGCAGTGACAAATTTTCTGAGATCAGGGTACTGCTTCATCACACAAGCAGATTGGTTGCCATAGTGATCTAATCTACTAATACTGCGGAAAACTTCATATTTGTTGTCCTTCAAGTTCTTAGTCACTGTTCCCTCGTATTGTGCATAGTTTGAAAGTGTTTCCATGGTGATTTGGTAATGTGCAACATCTACATTTATTTCTGAACTAAAGTTGGCCACTCTCTGATCAGCATCCACCGTTTTCATAAATTTCAAAACCTGAAATAGAAGACCATATGATTATAATCAAAGGTCATAAAGTGACTTGAACGAAGCTTAAGAACTTGTACTTTGCAAACACATTTTTAATAAGCATCATTTTTTCTAGAGACCACCTACTGGAAATGTTTAAACTTTCTTTCATTGAGGTTGTTTGAATCAAATAAAAATATTTAATTGATAGGTTTTAGAATGCTAGTCAATATTTTTTCTCAATATTATCATAATTTGTGATGCCATATTCAAATATTTTATCATGATTCCTTACCTTTTCATTAGAACTTATTAAATTTGCAGATTTTATTTTATGAATTGACAGCTCATGACAAGACTCCCTCAATGGCAGAGTTAGATCATTGATATGTCTGAGAAGTTGGTTCGCCATGATTTTTATATTATCACTGTTTGGGTCCACCTTACTTTGCACTAAACATGAACACCAATGTAGGTCAATATGAGCAGACGCACAATTCCGATTGGCTGGAATCTCCTGAAGGAGGCTGATTCCTCTGCTTGGTGTGACAGGTTTATACAACCTTGACGAATCAAGGACATCCCTTAGTGTTTCATAGGGTATATTCGATTAAGCGACACGGGTTACACGAGTCACTAGAGTTGTAAATAAAACAACCTATCTTCGACACGGGTGATCAACCCGTGTTACGCGAGTATACTCCTCAGTTTACCTGGAGTAACAGGTGAAAGAAATAGCGGGAAGTGAAGACGCATTGTTAATCCGAAAACTGTTTCTGCATAAATTTGTCAGTGTTTGTATTAGAAATTTACAACGTCAATGAAAAAAGTCTGCATTATAATTTTGATATCCCTCTCCTTTTTTTTTTTTTTTTTTTTTTTTAGTTTTTAGGTCAACCTCTTAAAATTACGGCTGTGTTATCATTGGCAGTTTTTAATTTTTTTATTTTTAAATAAAGTTTATTTTTTTTTTTTTTTAAATCTGCCTATAATTATTGCCCGAACCTCTGGGGCCCGTTTTACAAAAGAACGTACGACTAAAACCAAAAACTTATGTTGATTATACATTTTTGAAAATTAACCTTTTTGGAAATTGTTACCATAGAAACATTCTAAATTCTTTTCAAGAAGAATAGAATCGCAGAATCAATTTTGGTCTTAGGTGTAAGTTCTTTAGTAAAACGGGCCCCTTGATTACAAAAATGTCTAATAGATGCATATTGATTCACTAAAATTATTTTCATAGATTTAACAATCGCAGCATAGATATCTCGTGTTAATTACCTTATGAAGTTAAATTATTATTATTAATAATTCAGTTTTAACATAATTGCAGGATCAAATGTGAGAGCAATTTCAGTTACATACATGTATTACAATGTAATCTTATAAATATGGAGGTCGGGTTCCCATAACCAACCGGTTCTTTGTTTACAATACATGTTATAAGTATATAGAAATTACCTTTTCAGCCTTTAATTACAATCGTAATAATTATTGAACAATTGAACATGAAAAACACATACTCTCAAGTTTTCTTTCTTTTTTTTTTTGTAAAAGTATATGTCTCTCACATCCTATGACTAACACTATGTTAATGAAAAATGTCAGCTATGGTACTTTTCTGACCAATAATTATAACCCGTGCAAAATTTTACCGGGGGGGGGGGGGGAGGGGATACAGGCACGTAACAGCTGGTGGAAGCGCTCCCCACACTTTTTTTTCCAAACATCTCTTTCCTTTTAAAAAGTCTTCATTGAAAGACCACCGATTGCTTCCTCCCCCTTTTTGTTACAGTAAAGCCAAGCAAGGCTGAAGTCGTATCGTATGAATAAAATTTGGTACTGAAGGAAGTGGAACCTACATCCTCTTCCTCCAGCTATATAGAAGTGTCGTTTTTTTTTCTCTGGCTTGCCCCCCCCCCTTCAAAAACGATGGTTCGTCACTATTATATTTAAAACTATTTCCATGTATGTATGTGAAGACATTCTTATTCTACTTTTTTATTTTAATAAGAGGAGGTATTGACTTATTAAATAATATTGCAAGGATAAATCATCTATAAAATACATGTTGTATCCACAGGCACCTGACGTTACGTGTGTACTTATTTTTCGTTTAATAAAAAATACTATACCCATACTATACCCATACCTAATATATATTTTTTTATTAAAAGAAAAATAAGTAACGACAGGTTCCTGTGGTTGTATCTGTAATAAATAAATTTTGTTGAACAATTATTTCAGCTTTGATGTCTTGTGTTAAATTATCTGCTATTCTTTATTTGATAATTGGATATTGTTTGTAAATCAATTGTTTGTCCTGTTCAAACCCGATATACAGGGAATATACTGTTTTCCCCGCGATATTTATACAAACACTAAACAACACGAGATGTTTTATTTAGATGACTAGAGTTCAATCAATGAGCATGCGCATATTTAACACTAGTGCTACACGGGTTGTCTTAATCGAATACACTCATAGACATCAAATGGTGTCGTCAATCGATTAGCGTTTTTTGACAGAAGTTTAATTAAATGAGGATGTTTGAATTTAAATCGATGAGGAAAATGCAGACTCATGAAGGGGAGCCTCTCTTCCATTTTCCCTTGTAACGTACGCCGGATTCTTCCATACCTAGCACCGTGGTCCCCCATCACAATCAATAGAGTATTGTCCAGAAATCCCAACTTGCTGAAAACTTTCAAAGAATTCACAAAATCCACATCTAAATATTCTCCCGGGTTATTATCCCAATGAGTCAATTCGGCCAAAAATGTTAAGGAAAATTTGGAAACATTCTGATATTTCACGTAGAAGTCTTTAAGGTATTCTAATAAAAATTGATGATGAGGTGTACCACCTGTGCAATATCTCTTACTCCGTTCTCGGAGTTCGGAGTCCCAGATGGCCTGCCAAAATGGCCTCATATAATGGTCCACGGGGGATTCCTTAAAACCATTTAATCTAAGGTTGAAAGCACTAATTGAGGGTTCATCCTCGGCAAACATGGTGACATATCCCTTCTTCTTAAACTCCTTCCAGATCATAGGATAGATGTCCACATAATAAGCATCTTCCTGGCTCTTTCTAACTTCAGGTAACTCTAGTTCTGTTTTACCTACAAGAAGCAAATAACATTCATGTTAGTACACACTTTATTGATGTAAACGATAATTACATGTTTCAAGAATATAATAATGTTTAATTTTTAAGAAATTTGAATGCTTGATGAAAACCCTTAAAAGCTTAGCCATTTGAAGAGTACAATTTTCAATGAAACTTTATTATAAAAATGTTGGAGAATGTAGAGTTTTTCAAAAAGTGGGTACTAGATGCCCATTTTTCAATTATATACCTTAGATTCTCCGAAATTCCCTAATGAAATTAATTAGATAATATTAATTAATTAGGGAATTTCGAAAAGCGGGCCATAGCGAAAAGTTACGGGGTTCGGTTTTTCGCTTCTAGGTCCTTTACGGTACAAGATGGAGACGTTTAAATAATTTTATCGTAAAGAACATAAAATTTCAAGCAGGACTGAATATTTTTATTATTATTTTCATTTAAGTATACTTAATTATGTAATTTTATCTTTAATTAGTTTCAATTAATGTATTCTTTCATTTAAGAACAAAATCTTTTAATTTAAATGAAACTTTATTATAAAAATGTTGGAGAATGTAGAGTTTTTCAAAAAGTGGGTACTAGATGCCCATTTTTCAATTATATACCTTAGATTCTCCGAAATTCCCTAATGAAATTAATTAAATAATATTAATTAATTAGGGAATTTCGAAAAGCGGGCCATAGCGAAAAGTTAAGGGGTTCGGTTTTTCGCTTCTAGGTCCTTTACGGTACAAGATGGAGACGTTTAAAGAACATTAATTTTCAAGCAGGATTGATTATTTTTATTATTATTTTTATTGACGTATACTTAATTATGTAATTTTAACTTTAATTAGTTTCAATTAATGTATTCTTTCATTTAAGAACTAAATCTTTTAATTTAAATGAAACTTTATTATAAAAATGTTGGAGAATGTAGAGTTTTTCAAAAAGTGGGTACTAGATGCCCATTTTTTGATTATATACCTTAGATTCTCTAAAAATCCCTAATGAAATTAATTAATTAATATTAATTAATTAAGGAATTTCGAAAAGCGCGCTCTGGCGGAGGGTTACAGGGGTTCGGTTTTTCTCTTCTAGGTCCTTTAAAGCGTGTGGTAGAGATGTGAAAATAATTTTATCGTAAAGAACATTAAATTTCAGGCATGATTGACTATTTTGTATTTTTATTAGAGGGCCTTAAAAGAACTGACAAGCGAAAGAGCAATAAATGATAATAAAAGACGACAGGGGGTAGGTTTGCTATTTCAGCAACTGTGCTTTAAAAAACACACCTATACACACAATTCATATCTTAAAATCTTGTTATATAATTGTTCTACAAGATGAAAATAAATTTTAAAGGTTTCCAAAGCTCTCCTTGGCGAGAAATTAGGTTTTATTTAATTATTTAAGGAATTTCGCAAAGCGCGATCTAGCGGATGCTTTAGGGGGGGGGGGGGGGGGGGAGATGATTTCGCTTCTAGGTCCTATACGGAATCAGATACAGATGTGAAAATAATTTTATCGTAAAGAGCATTAAATTTCAAGCAGGATTAAATCTTCTTTATCTTTATTAAAGCGCTTTAAAAGAACTAAGAAGCGATGGAGCAATAAATAATAATAAAAGACGGCAGGGGGTCGGTTTGGTATTTCGGCCGCTGGTTTTTAAATAATGCAGGTATACACTCGATTTGTATTTTAAAATGTTGTTAAATAATTGTTCTACAAGATGAAAATGTATTTTAAAGGTTTCCGTTTCTCACCTTGTCGAGAAATTAGGTTTTATTTTATTAATTAGGGAAATTCGCAAAGCGCGCTCTAGCTGATGATACGACGGGTTCGGTTTTTCGCTTCTAGGTCCTTAACGGTATAAGATAGAGATGTGAAAATAATTTTATCGTACAGAACATTAAATTTCAAGCAGGAATAAATATTTTTTATCTTTATTAACTCGCCTTAGAAGAACTGACAAGCTAAAGAGAAATAAATGATAATAAAATACGGAAAGGGGTTGGTTTGGTATTTCGGCCACTGGCCTTTCAAAAAAGCCGCTATGCACACGATTTATATCTCAAAATGTTGCTGAATAATTGTTCTACAAGATAAAAATATATTTCAAAGGTTTCCGAAGCTCTCCTGGTCGAGAAATTAGGTTTTATTTAATTAGTTTTGGAATTTCGTAAATCGCGCTCTAGCGGATGATACGGCGGGTTCGGTTTTTCGCTTCTATTTCCTTAACAGTATAAGATAAAGATGTGAAAATAATTTTATCGTAAAGAGCATTAAATTTCAAGCAGGATTAAATCTTTTTAATCTTTATTAAATCGCTTTAAAAGAACTGACAAGCGAAAGAGCAATAAATGATAATAAAATACGGAAAGGGGTAGGGTTGCTATTTCGGCCACTGGCCTTTAAAAAATGCTGCTATACACACGATTTATATCTCAAAATGTTGTTGAATAATTGTTCTACATGATGAAAATATATTTCAAAGGTTTTCAAAGCTCTCCTGGTCGAGAAAATAGGTTTTATTTAATTATTTTTGGAATTTCGTAAATCGCGCTCTAGCGGACGATACGGCGGGTTCGGTTTTTCGCTTCTAGGTCCTATACGGAATCAGATAGAGATGTGAAAATAATTTTATCGTAAAGAGCATTAAATTGCAAGCAGGATTAAATATTTTTAATCTTTAATAGATCGCCTTAGAAGAACTGACAAGCGAAAGAGCAATAAATGATAATAAAATACGGTAGGGGGTAGGGTTGGTATTTCGGCCACTGGCCTTTTAAAAATGCCGCTATACACACGTTTTATATCTAAAAATGTTGCTGAATAATTGTTCCACAAGATAAAAATATCTTTTAAAGGTTTCCGAAGCTCTCCTGGTCGAGAAAATAGGTTTTATTTAATTATTTTTGGAATTTCGTAAATCGCGCTCTAACGGATGATACGGCGGGTTCGGTTTTTCGCTTCTAGGTCCTTAACGGTATAAGATAGAGATGTGAAAATAATTTTATCGTAAAGAGCATTAAATTTCAAGCAGGAATGAATATTTTTAATCTTTATTAGATTGCCTTAAAAGAACTGACAAGCGAAAGAGCAATAAATGATAATAAAATACGGAAAGGGGTAGGGTTGCTATTTCGGCCACTGGCCTTTATAAAATAGCGGTTTACATACGATTTATATCTCAAAATGTTGCTGAATAATTGTTCTACAAGATAAAAATATATTTCAAAGGTTTCCGAAGTTCTCCTGGTCGAGAAATTAGGTTTTATTTAATTATTTAGCTAAATTCGTAAATCGCGCTCTAGAGGAGGCTTATGGGGGTTCGGTTTTTCTCTTTTAGGTCCTTAACGGTATAAGATAGAGATGTGAAAATAATTTTATCGTAAAGAGCATTAAATTTCAAGCAGGATTAAATATTTCTTATCTTTACTAGATCGCCTTAGAAGAACTGACAAGCGAAAGAGCAATAAATGATAATAAAATACAGCAGGGGGTAGGGTTGGTATTTCGGCCACTGGCCTTTAAAAAATGCTGCTATACACACGATTTATATCTCAAAATGTTGCTGAATAATTGTTCTACAAGATGAAAATATAGTTTAAAGGTTTCCGAAGCTCTCCTGGTCGAGAAATTAGGTTTTATTTAATTATTTAGCTAAATTCGTAAATCGCGATCTAGCGGAGGCTTATGGGGGTTCGGTTTTTCGCTTCTAGGTCCTATACGGAATCAGATAGAGATGTGAAAATAATTTCATTGTAAAGAGCATTTAATTTCAAGCAGGATTAAATATTTTTTATCTTTATCAACTCGCCTTAGAAGAACTGACACGCGAAAGGGCAATAAATGATAATAAAATACGACAGGGGGTAGAGTTGGTATTTCGGCCACTGGCCTTTTAAAAATACAGCTATACACACGATTTATATCTAAAAATGTTGCTGAATAATTGTTCTACAAGATGAAAATATATTTTAAAGGTTTCCGAAGCTCTCCTGGTCGAGAAATTAGGTTTTATTTAATTATTTAGCTAAATTCGTAAATCGCGCTCTAGCGGAGGCTTATGGGGGTTCGGTTTTTCGCTTCTAGGTCCTATAGGGAATCAGATAGAGATGTGAAAATAATTTATCGTAAAGAGCATTAAATTTCAAGCAGGATTAAATAATTTTTATCTTTATTAAATCGCTTTAAAAGAACTGACAAGCGAAAGAGCAATAAATGATAATAAAATAGGGAAAGGGGTAGGGTTGCTATTTCGGCCACTGGCCTTTCAAAAATGCCGCTATACACACGATTTATATCTCAAAATGTTGCTGAATAATTGTTCTAAAATATGAAATTATATTATAAAGATTTTTGAAGCTCTGCTCGTCGAGAAATTAGGTTTTATTTAATTATTTAGCTAAATTCGTAAATCGCGCTCTAGCGGAGGCTTATGGGGGTTCGGTTTTTCGCTTCTAGGTCCTATACGGAATCAGAAAGAGATGTGAAAATAATTTTATTGTAAAGAGCATTTAATTTCAAGCAGGATTAAATATTTTTTATCTTTATTAACTCGCCTTAGAAGAACTGACAAGCGAAAGGGCAATAAATGATAATAAAATACGACAGGGGGTAGGGTTGGTATTTCGGCCACTGGCCTTTTAAAAATGCCGCTATACACACATTTTATATCTAAAAATGTTGCTGAATAATTGTTCTACAAGATGAAAATATAGTTTAAAGGTTTCCGAAGCTCTTCTGGTCGAGAAATTAGGTTTTATTTAATTATTTAGCTAAATTCGTAAATCGCGCTCTAGCGGAGGCTTATGGGGGTTCGGTTTTTCGCTTCTAGGTCCTATACGGAATCAGAAAGAGATGTGAAAATAATTTTATTGTAAAGAGCATTTAATTTCAAGCAGGATTAAATATTTTTTATCTTTATTAACTCGCCTTAGAAGAACTGACAAGCGAAAGGGCAATAAATGATAATAAAATACGACAGGGGGTAGGGTTGGTATTTCGGCCA